CTGCCTTGTGACCATGAGGTCATGGGTTCAAGTCCTGGAAACAGCCTCTTACAGAAATGTAGGGAAAGGCTGCGTACTATAGACCCAAAGTGGTCGGACCCTTCCCTGGACCCTGCGCAAGCGGGAGCTACATGCACCAGGTTGCCCTTTATGTCAGTGTGCTAAATGTCATCAACTACCTTATCCTGTGTCTACAAGCATCTCCACCAAACCTCTTGAGCTCATTTTTTCCGATGTTTGGGGTCCTGCTCCTAAATCAATTGGCAGACACACTACGTGAGTTTTATCGATGACTATAGCAAGTACATGTGGATCTATCTCATCAAAAAGAAATCTGATGTATTTCAAGTTTTTCACAACTTTCAAGCACTAGTAGAAAGAAAGTTTGATTGCAAGATCCTAGCTCTCTAATCCGATTGGGGAGGGGAGTACCGCAACCTCAACTCCTTTTTCAGCAAATTGGTATATCACACCACGTGTCATGCCCCCATGCTCACCAGCAAAACGGATCAGCCGAGCGCAAGCACAGGCATATAGTTGAGGTCAGCCTAGCCTTACTTGCTGCTGCCTCTATGCCTTTGAAATTCTGGGATGAGGCTTTTCTCACTGCAGTCCACCTCATAAACATGTTGCCTAGTAGAGTCATCAACAATGAATCTCCAGTAGAACGTCTCCTTCATACAAAACCTGATTACACATCTCTACGAGTGTTTGGGTGTGCGTGTTGGCCGAATCTTCGGCCATATAACAACCGCAAACTCATGTTCCGATCAAAACAGTGTGTTTTCTTGGGCTATAGTCCACAACATAAGGGTGTAAAGTGTCTTGACGTATCCACTGGACGTGTCTATATTTCCCGTGACGTTGTGTTCGATGAAACTGTTTTCCCTTTTGCACAACTTCATCCAAACGCCGGAGCCCTTCTTCAAAAGGAGATTCTTCTTCTACCTTCACATCTCACCGGTCGTGACAATGGGGATGTTTTAGACACTGATGATCAATTGTTGACTAATCCTCTTACTAATGATGGTCTTGAGTCTTGTGATGCAACAGAAAAAAATTGTGCAGAAAATGGTGAAGAAATCAGCTCAAATCAACATTTTATGCTTCCTGGACAAAACAGCAGCAGCAGCGGAGCGGATCTACCTCAGGATCCAGGCGCATCCCCCTCGGGATCGCTTCTGCGCCAGTCTGCCACCCTGGCCCCCGCGGGATCCGCGCCAGACCGATCCGCCCCGAGCCCCGCGTCGCCCCACGCCACCAGCGGCTCGGTGGACCGCCCAGTGGCCGCTCCGCGCCAACCCACCAGCGCCACGTGGCGCCAACTGCAGCCGCCCGCGCCTGGTCCCGCGCCCGGCCCCGCGTCTGGCCCCGCACCTGGTCGGTTCGGCCCCGACACGCGCTGCTACGTGCGGCGCCCATCACGGCAGGATACGGGCGCTGATTCCTGTGTGGATCCCGCTGCAGCCCCTGTCCCACCGGCGCAATCATTGCAAAATCATGCGCCCCCTGTTGGATCGTGATCCTCTGCGGCGCCCTCTTCTTCAGCTTCACGTGCGTCGGCCACAGAAGATCTGGTCTGCATGTCCTCGCCCAGCGAGCCTGCAGCTGTTCCTGGCGCTGGATCTTCTGCGGATCCTTCTTCACCACCTCGCACTAGGCTTCAGAGGGGAGTAACTCAACCCAAAAAATACAAGTCTTTAGCAAAGTTTGGACTTGCTTGTGTTTCACATGAACCAGATATCCCACACTCTGTTGCAGAAGCTCTAGGCGATCCAAAGTGGCAGAAGGCTATGGAAGATGAATACATGGCGCTCCACAAAAATAAAACTTGGCACTTAGTTCCAGCACGTCAAGGCAAAGGTAAAAATGTTATAGATTGTAAATGGATCTTCAGAATTAAAAAGAAATCTGATGGCACCATACATCGTTATAAGGCTAGACTAGTTGCAAAAGGATTTAAGCAAAGGTACGGTCTAGACTATGAGGATACTTTTAGTCATGTAGTGAAAGCTGCTACTATTCGTCTCGTTTTGTCTATTGCTGTATCCAGAGGATGGAGTCTACGTCAGCTAGATGTTCAGAACGCGTTTCTTCATGGTGTTCTGGAAGAGGAAGTGTTCATGAAACAACCTCCTGGGTTTGAAAACAGACAAAACCCCTCCACATATGCAAGCTTGACAAGGCTCTATATGGATTAAAATAAGCTCCTAGAGCATGGTATTCTCGGTTGAGTTCAAAGCTTCAAGGACTTGGGTTTGCTCCGTCCAAGTCTGACACCTCACTGTTTATTTTCAACAAGTCAAATACATCTATATTTGTACTCATATATGTTGATGATATTATTGTCACAAGCTTATCTGATGAAGCTATTTCAGCACTCCTCAAGGATTTGAACTCTGAGTTTGCTCTTAAGGATCTAGGAGACTTGCACTACTTCCTTGGCATTGAAGTAAAAAAGAAATGGAGATGAGCTTCACTTGTCCCAAGAGAAGTATGCCACTGATCTTGTAGCAAGAGCAGGGTTGCAAGGTTGCAAGGCAGCTCCAACACCTCTATCCAGCTCTGAGAAACTATCCTTAACAGAAGGGAAACTCTTGAATCAAGAGGATAACACCAGGTACAGAAGTATGGTTGGTGCACTGCAATATTTAACTCTGACTAGGCCTGATATTTCTTTTGCTGTGAACAAAGTATGTCATTTCCTTCATGCACCCACTACAGTACATTTGACAGCTGCAAAACGCATACTTAGATATGTCAAGAACACTTTCAGTGTTGGACTCACCTTCACCAAGTCACCATCAACACTTGTAAGTGCCTTTTCTGACTCTGATTGGGCAGGTTGCCTTGATGACAGACGCTCAACAGGTGGTTTTGCAGTGTTCTTTGGTCCAAATTTAATCTCATGGTGTGCTAAGAAACAAGCTACTGTGTCTAGATCCAGCACAGAAGCAGAATACAAATCATTAGCAAATGCTACTGCAGAAATTATTTGGGTTTAGTCATTACTGAAAGAGCTTGGGATACATAGTAAACAGGCTCCATGCTTATGGTGTGACAATCTGGGTGCCACCTATCTTTCTGCTAACCCAATATTTCATGCAAGAACAAAACATATCGAAATAGATTTTCACTTTGTCAGAGAAAGAGTTGCAGAAAAAATGCTGGATATTCGGTTCATTCGGTCTCAAGACCAAGTTGCAGATGGCTTCACTAAAGCTTTGCCTACCAGAGGTGTTGAAGAATTTAAGCGTAATCTCAACTTGTCCAAGTTGTGATTATGGGAGGGTGTTAAACCATATAATGTTCAGGTTCAAGGGGCGCACCACGCACCGGTTTAGTTGAGATAAGTTTCGGTCTAGGTTAGTTAGAGTATATGGTTGTAATCTCTTTATGTATATCTTATCTCTACTTTCCTTGTACCTCAAGATGTAATCTCAACAAACTTGTATGCTTATCAGGGATATGCCCCTGCCTATATTAACACGAAACCGTCGCCTCGAGAGAGGTATGACGTTCTCCGTTGTTTCACACACTATACGTGATTGAGACAGAAGTGGCACATAACGAACAAAAGAAGCTCTTCAGAGGCGTCTAAGGAATTGCACTAGTGGCTTTTGCCGTGATAGTCTAGTGTGCTACTGCTTCCCATCACTATAAAATCACTTCCCCAATCTAAAATCAATTTTTAACCATACAAAACTGCTGCATGTATTGATTAATATAGAAGATTGCACGCCAAAGATGGCACAATCCATACAATGCTCAAAGAACACACAACCAAAGGAACGCCAAACCGGGAAGGACCTAGCGATACCTAGACAAGTGCAAAGTAGGAGTACAAGTGTACAACACGAGGGCACGGAAGCAACAACCATCAGCACATGCAGCGCCAGTTAGTGTGACAACACACCCGTACCGAGCCAACCTAAGACTATACTGGTATCGGGAAGATATTCAGAAGAGATAACCGTAGGAGAGTAGGTTACCGTAGTTCACGCTCAATTTCAGCATTCCCAGGATCCAGCTTTTGTGCATCCAAGAGAGCATCACAGGCTTGTTTATACTCCTGGTGCAGAGGGGATCAAAGAATGTGACCAGACTGGAAGATCAATATGAAATAAGTCACAAGTGAAGACACCCGGCAAGCTAGAGGCACCTTGAGTAGCATGTGAGCTGTAGCTTGACGATAGCAAGCTTTTGCCCAATCAGGACGCAGCATTCTGCACCTGAGAGCATCTGACAAAGCACCTTCACCATCACCCATGAGCAGTTTACAAACACTCCTGTTTGCATACAGTGTTGCACTCTCTGCATGATCTATTGCCTACACTCAAAAGTTGGTCATGCAATATTATTCTCAACATAAAATGATGGCATAAAGTTTCTTTTATTCTAACGCTTATTCATGGAATGGCAAACTGTCTAAAAACTTTACTAATTTACTACCCAGTAATACTGCAGAATGGAGTTATCGAACACGTTCTCTTACTAGACTGATTGGCTTGTTCAATTTACATCTACGGTCAATTTGGATACGTAGTCAACAATCCTAAGTAGACATTACATCGAACACATTAACAGAAACAGTAGACAACCACATCAAATATTCATATTAGCCAAGAAGAAAAAATAACTTCTCAGGGATTCTGGAGATGTAAGACATCAGCGAAGTTTGACATGTGCAAATAATGGTTGACATTACTAGTAACTTTTCTGTTTTGGGGCCATTCAAAGCTCATATTTACATTAAAAATAGTTAGATATCCTAAATGGTTAACAATGTAAATAGAGTATAGTAAGAAAAACTAATTACTAGTAAAAAAACAAAATGCTCTTAAATTGGTTCCCATTAACAGAAAAAACTTACTATCTAAACCATGACAGGTTAAGTGAAAGAGGTTTACCAAACCAAACCATATAACTGTGATGCCAACTTATACTCCTTCTGCTTGAATGCCATATTAGCCTGTAACTTTAAGAAAGCCATTCTTCTTTCAACGTGCTTTTGCTCCTAGATAACACATAATGAAACATGAATTGAATGAGTGGATTTTGGAAATAATCATCAGTTACTATGATAATTTGTATCCAGAGAAATGCAATAACATTTTGTTCAACATTCTTAATAGTTTGGTGTCTAGGTGGCTATCTCTTTGACATGATTATGCTGCAATGCCTACTGCACATGCTCCTTGGAGTGAAGAAATCCTTTACTGGTTCTGAAGCTCAAAGTTCAGCTGCAGTCCAAATTTAAGCTTCCAAACCGGCATAAGGGGCAAATATTTCACTGGTTCAGAGATTAGCTGTGCCAGGTTTTATTTGAATCAAACCAAAACGTCAAGGTCCTAAAGGGACTCCTTTGCAGCTATAGGTATATAAAAAGTATCCTCAAAATGAGGAACAGTAGGCTCTCTACTTCAAAGAAGTATGCTGCTGTACAACCGTCCTTCTCTTTATCATTGAATGTTGTCGGCAAAGTTAGAACAATGTTAGAATCTACAAAACACCAGGTGGGGCCACAGAACAAGGTGTTGCTTCTTTCACGGAAAGAACCAAGGAGAATACATCACATATGTGCTCGCCTGTTAGGTACATAATGCGATAAAAAAAAGGACTCAGAAATATACATGACAGATAGCATTTGCCCAGGCATCAAGAATTTAGTCACGAGAAAAGAGTGCAAGATAATTTTGTGCTGAACTAAAAATGTAGTGTTCATGTGACATTATTACTAGACTAGATGCTAACGAAGCACACCCTTTACATGATGCTGGTGTATTTTCCAACCATGGTATAGTATCAATAATACCATAACTATGAACCATCCTCAAGCATCTCACTATTCTCTACACAACATAAGCTTATGGCAGTTAATAGAATGAACTCTTTTAAGATGCTCCACCTTACCTCACCAGAAGTAAGGTAAGGTTTAAATATGAGTCGTTTATTGATAGAGATTAGTTTTGGCCTCGCAGAAATAATGCTAATAAGCAACCGGTGGCGTATTTAGGCATCTAATAGATACAAATCCTCCCATAACAAATGGTCACAATTTTATCTGGAAAAAAAAAAGGTAACAGTCTGACTCGATATACAGTCAAAATATTGATGTGGGATCTTTATCATGTTCCAATTAATTGGTGTGAATCAATGCATCCAATCCACAGGTGACATACTTGATTGCATAGCCATCAATAGACTCCTAATGCTCATTCATAGAGGACTCTTCTACTCGATGATCTTTACCAATTATTCAGCCCGAAAACCTGAGTGTGGTTAGCATTTTATATTCATTATTACAGTAGAGGGTTTGTTTATATTATTGTGTTCTGTTACCAAATTGATAGTGCATTCCACACATGGATTCGTGATGTCTACTGTTAGACCAGGGCCAGATGTCTCAGCACGATCATATTGCCCTTCTAAATGACAGTTTGTAGTTTGTTCTCAGCTAGTCAGCAGTTAAAAACAATTTTTATGATTATCCCAAGTTGGGACACCTGAGATTACCCCCATAAATAAGTCGACATTCTCTCAATGTACATATGGTGTCATGGATATAGTAACCACAATTAATAATAACATTTAATGAACAAATTTAGGGCTGAAGAACCAATTAAAGGTTTACCTTTCAAACAATATTCAGTACGAAAACAGCATAAGAACAGAAAATAACATACCATTGGCTTTTTTTTCTTCAATTTTTGCATAAGAAATTACTCCCTCGATACTCCAGTTTCGGACATTTGGAATTGGGGAAGTCAAAGGAAACAACATTTCAACTTCTTCCTTGCAATCACGCACCGCAGCAAACTCTATTGGCAACCTACCCAACTGGGAAACATAAGAAAAAGTAACTGTCATTTATTTTAAAATTTAACAACATCATTCAAGAAGGGAAACATTTGGAATATACGAAAAGAACATGAACATTACGTAATGTAATAGTATTTTTTAGAAAGAAGCAGGATCTAAGTAATATTTTTAATCAAATGTATCAGCAGGGAATTTACCCAGCAAGCATTTTCAAATTTTCTAAGCAATTCAAACTGCCAACACAAGGTTTCAATGACAGGAATTTGAGCAAAAAATATTTTGTGGTGTCCCACTTGAGTCTCCATTAAATAAATAGATAAAACGCGAGGAGAAGTAGCTTTACATGTGGTTTTTTAGCAGGTTCTTCAACTGATAGTGGCATCAATATAAACAGGTGCTTGGAGTAAAAGAATGAAAACAGAATACCAACAGCAGGGATGACGAACATAAAGTAAACTAAACAAAAAGTAAATTTATTTATTGTCTATTTCATGGGTACATTTGAGAAATGCTGCTACCCAGAATTGTGAGATCTCAGCATCTGGTCAACTGTTAAGTATGCATCGATATATGTTGCGAACTTGTTCGATACAAGCAAGTACCAACATTTTTAGAAGGGTATATGTATATATGCTGGAACAGAATAGGCATACTTCTTCAATAAGAACTCACTAACTGACAATCAACAGAAAGTGACAAGTCTAAAGATAGATAATTGCAAATTGGGCTGTATCCTAGTGGTGGACGTGCGGTGGTCTCACCCCGCTGGCCAAGATTCAATTGCGCTGAGGCTAATTAATATTTCATTATAGGAGGAGCCCTGATAGGTCTATTTATTAAATGATATGGATTATTTGGTTGAAAGGTCGAGCCAACTTAGGCAAAAATGCGATTTCCCATTAGCATAGTCAACGACATAAAGCAAACCTAAACTCATGCCCAAATAACTCCAGAACATGATAAGAAGAGCTGTATAATATTATCAGCAGAAGATTTAATAGAAAATGGTGATATGCTGCATAGCTGTCAGAAAAAAAAATATTAAAAATACAAAACATACATCATCAGGAATATTAGGATCTGCTCCAGCCTTCAATAGGAACTGAATGTAGTTGGTATAACCTCCTCGCCACGTAGCAAACAATAAAGGAGTCATAGCACAACCCTTGCAATTAACATCTGCACCAGCCTGTGGAAAGGATTGTGCAACAAAATATCCATGTACATCAACTTATAAGCATGACAGAGACCATGGAGTGGGCAAAATTACAACATAACAATAAAAAATCAATCCCAAGAGTTCTCACCTTAATTAGTAGCTTCATGCACCTCAATGAACGGTAAACAAGAGCCATACACAGAGGATTTCCCATACCTTTGACAATGACATTAGGGTGAAAGAAGGTATAGTGTATTAAGAAACACATGTGGTATGATAACTCAAGATTTTATTTTGAGATGAAAAGGGTATCCAAATTTAAAAGCTAACAATCATATATAATACTGATGTGTTTAGTGTTTCAGAGGATTAGATAGTAAGTGGACCATCCAAATCCTAATACTGAACGAAAAACTATTTGTGCAAATTAACGCTGAATCGAGGGAGATAAGAAAAGCGGAGGCCATGTACGTTTGCATGGTGGTCCAACAAAATCTTCAATGTCTTATCCTGCTCATTTTCAGCAGCCAGATAGGCTGGTGTTCTACGGCCATAGTCTATGTCGACCGGCACTCCTTTTGAAAGGAGGAACTCTGTTACCTTTCAGCATCCTGTGGTAAACGAAATGGTTCCATCAGTCATGTTTAACCATAACATCTATTAACTAGTAGTAGTAGAACTACCAGCTTGAAGAAATCATGTGTGTATGTGTGGTCAGGGGGGAGAACCTGCAGCCACAGCATGGTGGAGAACTGTTTGTCCTCTGTCATCTGCTTTCATTACATCACTGCCGCGATCAAGAAAATACTTGACGGCAGCAACATCACCAGACCAAGCAGACACCATAAATGGAGTCGCACCTGTAATAAAAAGCACATCCTCAACACAACCGTAGATCTCACACTTACAAACATTGACATGGCAATTGGCAAACACCAATGTAAAAAATGAAGAAAAGGGTAGAAAAAGACCTAGAGCTGCTCCATATCCAGGAGCATTTACATCTCCCTTGAGCTCCTCCACCAAATACTTGCAAATATCCAGATGGCCAAAGCATGCCGCTATATGCAACACAGAGAGTCCATCGGTGTTGAAATAAAAAATCGCGGACCGGTCACCATTTCCTTTGGTAAGACGCTTCACAATACCTTCCCACAGAAGTAGACATGATCACATTGAAGAAGCCAATAGACAAACTCGCAAGATAAAAAAAAAAGTGAACAGTGAAATGGGCAACACGTAATGATCTGACACACTAATTGCTGGACAGTCACCCAGTGAAAATACTTGACAGCACATCATTTTAGAGCAATTGACTAGACTGTAAATTTATACTATGTACTACTTGACAATCAGATGGTTTCATCCAAAGTTTGCACATTTATACCGTCACACATTCATCTAAACTGAATCTGCATATGTGTCTGTTGAGAGAAGTCGATGCTAGCGAAACATTACATTCCACAGAGCTGAAGGGATACGGTCACAAACTGTTGCGAGTAAAACATCCGACCGCGGTACAGAATATGAAGGAAACTGTTCTGGAAGGCGGTGGACACCGTAACTACAGTACTACGCAAGATAACTGAGCGACGCATCGAAACAGAGCAATGCAGCGTGCCTGAACAACAATCTCGGACCCCGCGAACACAACGCAAGCACGCAACTAGGCAGGGGTGAGGAAAAGGCACAGTGGAAGAGGAAGGGGCTACCTTTGAGGCGGCCGAGGTTGCCGTCGATGGCCGCCTTGATGAGGGCCTCCTCGCCTGCAGACACGCGCGCACGGCCGCCGTTAGGAACGCAGCCAGGGGCCAGAGGGAGAGGGGGCAAACAACTGAGGGTGGGAGCGAGCAATCATCAGGGGCTAAGGGGCGCGCGGAAAGCCGTACGTACCGGCGTCGTCGGCGTCGCCGGCTGGGGGGCAGTAGATGAACGGAGCTGGAGAGTCCATGGCCGGCGATCTCGCCCGCGGGTCGGTCGGAAGCTTGCCGGCGGCGACGACGGAGAACCCTGCGCTGCGGCGTGGCGGGTTGGGGCCCGTCTTCTCTGTGTCAGCGCGCTGCCTCTTCCTAGCTTTGCTTTGGTCTGGACTCTGGAGCTCGCCCCGTTAAAGCTCGCGAGTGCAGTGGATGGGCTCGGTGTTGCTGCCGCACCGGAACCACTGCTCTGCTCTCTAGTGTACGTGGCTCGTGCGCCCGCCGTCGGCGTACCAAGACCAGGTGCATCCAGGCCTCCATGCTGAGGTGGATGTATGGCACCAATCGTCAGGCGACGCGTGTGCGCCAAAAGGCTGCCGCGCCAAACCGCAAGTACTCCCTCCATTCCACAATGTAGTGCTTCCTCTATCCACGTGCTTCAACTTTGATCGTAAATTTAACTATCAAGACCGATTGCGGCGGGAGCAAAAATTATATCAGTGAATTCGTATTCGAAAGAAGTTTTCAATTATATAATTTTTTCTCCCGTCGTAGTTGGTCTCGTTGGTTAAATTTATGGTCAAAGTTGAACCTCGTGAAGCGCGGGCGCACTATATTTTGGAATGGAGGGAGTACTACGCTGAACTCCTCGAGCGAATCGCAGCCCTTAGGTGTTGAATGAAGGGACCAGATCCAGCGCTACAGTACATTAGCCTAGAAATGGTGCTACTGCTTTTGCTTCGCCGCCGTCTGCGTTCTCCTGTGCCTACCTTGTGCAAGCTAGGCCGCTTTGACTGCAGATGTGGAGCTCAGACTTGCTGATCAGTGATCACTGTAGACCTGTTGGATTTCCTGATTGTGTACTCTGGTTACAAAAATTACCAGGCCAATTTCGTTCGAGTTGAAACAAATTGTGAGTACGCAAAAGAACAAAGGCACCAAAATGCAGCCAGGACACGCGGAAGATTTACTGCTTCTCAAGCAAAGTTTTACCCCTTTACACTCAGGCAGAGCAAGCTAGATTTTTACACAGGTCACAGAGCAACAGTCTTGGCAATACCTAAAGGGCTAATCTGCCTACTTGTAACCATTACTAGTAGTACTGTTCTGGCAAGTTCCCCCTTCCATATCCAATACACTTTCTTCAGTCTGCTCTCACTGCTAATCACCTGAGCTTTACTTCCTAGCGTACACGATCACAGCTTATCGGATAAGCGCCAGCTACAGTACCATGCGCGTTACTGGACAATGGCGTATTCGGAAACGAACAATGGCTTCACCATAATATACACTTCTGACAGAATCACCATCATAGCCTCGGACCTCGGGACGTTTTTTCCATCTTCACACGCTTGGCTGAACTGCATTTGAGTGGATCTGCACGGGGGAGTTTGAAACTGTCAAATTCAGATAGATGGCATCAAAATGAAAAAACCCCTCTTTCCCAGAAGAAAAAAGAAGGTGTAGAATAGGATGAACTCACGACGGGAACATTATGAATTTGCGCCCGTGAAATCTGCCCATGACAGGCACAAAAGAAGCATCTACTGATATGTGCGGTACTTGTTCTTCCGTAAAAAAAGAAAAAACAGCTCAAAAGTTCAATCGGTTGGCTGGACCTATGTGAAGCCAGCAGAAGGTCAGACTGTGAGCCATCACACTATATAATAGCTACGGTTCGACGTGCACTTGTTAGTACTGCAATGCTATATATGCATGCCATTGTTTACCTGAAGGTGCCTTTCTTCAGGATGGCTTACGGATCTGTGCTTCAGCTCTCCACGGTTTGTTGTGAGCTCATCCAATATTTCAGAGTCGTCTCTGCTGTCACAGCTTCCTGAATTTGAGCCATCTTCCTCCTGCGTGATGATCCAAGAGTTTCAGAGTAACAAAAGATGACAATGCACCTTGAGGCGTCGCAGAGAATGAAACGAAATCTGGACAGATAGAAAGTTTATCCGAGAACCCAAACTGAACTCGTACCGGTGTTTGTTCATGTGGGACACCTTCAAGTTCTTCGTACTCAGCTGCGTCCAGTTCCCGCAAGTCATTGGGCTCAAAGAACTTTGGGAGTAGGTGTTGCCTGATGAGAATCATAATGAAGAAAGGCAGCGGGAAGAGGATCCCTGCTACTGGTATCCATGTTATGCCGAAGCATATCAGGAGATACACAAACTGGAAGACCGTAAAGGCAGATATTGTTCTTGAAGGCACTGACTCCACGAAAGATGCATGGGGGCCTTCCAAGACCCTGCAAAGGTTAAAACACTGTGTGTTAGTGCAATCATAGTCCCTGTGTCTTAACGAAAATTGTGTAATCAAAAAGGAAGCACACAGCAAGTTGATTTGTTCAGATGAGATGAACAGATGCAGAATAGACATTACTTGTAGCGTCGGCTTGCTCCAATGCACAGAAGCTGCAACCTTTCCCAAAACTGGTTCCCAGGTAGGCTATCAATGGCCATATAGGCAAAGTAACCCCAGAGGACCGAAGTCGGTATCATCTTGATAACCGGCATGGCTCCAACACACCCACCAACAAGTAATGATTGCAGCAGGTTGCTTAGTCTCTGTTCATTCACGCGAACAGGCAAATGTGCTTCGATATGTTTGCTAGGATCAAATTCTCCAGCCAATTTCCCTTCTTCGTCACCTTCCCGCAGCACAGCATCCTTCAAGCTCTTCAAGTCCTTGTCAACAGAATTAGCCTGCAGGCCATTATTTCAGCGATATGAGTATGTACTCCCTCCGTTTCTAAATATTTGTCTTTCTAGAGATTTCAACAAGTGACTACATACGAAGCAAAATGAGTGAATCTACACTCTAAAATATGTCTATATACATCCGTATGTGCTAACCATTTGATATCTCTAAAAAGACAAATATTTAGGAACGGAGGGAGTACTTTATGATATTCCCTTACAAAGTTAATAGAAAATATTAATTTCAAATATTTACTGAAAAGAAACTAATGCATGAAAACATCAAGGATGCAGAAGCAACTGCATGACTTTAGCCTAGAAGTCATTTTGGTTTTTCCTCTAGTTTATGCTCTCTCCAAAAAAAAATCACCACAAAATTGCAAAACATGAGAGGCGGTGCCCCCCCCTGGTGCAGTAACATTCGCTACAAAAAACTAAGGTGCTGTGGACAACAAGAAGGGGAAATTAGATAGTACGATAACAGACTGAAAGACTCACATTCATGTTGCTGTCCATTTGGATGAACACTTCCTGCATCTTGCCATATATTTCCAAACTGCTCGCACGGTTTGACATGCCCTCTTTGGCAGTTTGAAGCATCTTTTTGCGTAGCAACTAAATTGGCAGAAAAAGAGAAGATGGGTAAGCAAATCTGACTACCATAGACCGTAGCATATGACGCAGATCAGTCTGCATTTCACTAACCTGCCCCTTGAGGACAGCAAGGCTTCTGGTATGCATTGGGGACTGAGGAAGTACTCCATTTGATGGAGGAATGCCAAGCAAACCACATAGTAGGACCTGCACCATTAACATACCATGAGAAAAGGAAACACGACATGGTAAATAAGAATTTGGAGCTAAAATGCAGTCAGATCTCAGGATAGATGGAGAGGG